CTTGTGAGGGGGAGGGCACAGCAAAGCCCTGGGCCTCCGTTCAGAGCTCAGGGTCCTGGGGAAGGAGGGGTCGCAGTGGCATCTCCCCGGGTGGCAGGTGACATGGGAGATGGGGTCAGTTAGTAACGTTCAGGGTTGGGCCAGGCTTGTCCTGAAGGCCCCTCCGTTCCGTCTGACATGATTTCCTTAGCGCTTGTTTTCTCAAAGGATTTCACGGCTTGGCCAAGCCACGGACCCAAATGCTTAGCCAAGTCCGTCGCTGTTCCCCATCAGGGAGTGGGCCTCTTCTCATAAGGAAAGGGACCTGGAGGGGAGCAGATCCGTCCCCAAGGCTGGGAGTGTTTCCCCTCCTGGACTCCATGGGGTTGGGGAGGGAAGATGACGAAGAGCTGTTGCCGAGATGATGTTCAGAGATGATGCCGGTCCCTTCCCATCCTGATGAAGGCTGCTGAGGGCACCTTCACGTCCCAGGCCCTTTGAGGAGCACTCCCAAAGTCTGTGCTCCTGGGCCAGTCCTTCCAGGGTCGTAAAAGGGACGTACGTCTCCTGCCAGGCCAGCCTCTGGGTGGAGGGCTTCTGTGGCCCATACAGCCCTGTTCACCCACCACTACGCACCCACCAGGGATGGTCGGGGGCGGGGGGGAGGGTAGAAGATGTATACATAGTGCTCAGGACGTGGGGATCCTGACTCTCTGGGGAGCAAGATTCCCCCAGAACCTCAGGTGCCTGGAGACGAACGCGGTCTTGAATTCCATCTGGAAAGGCCTGGAGCCCTCTTTCCTCATCTCCGCCTGCCTTCTTTGTTGTTTTTGGCCAGGTTTTGATTTTGGGAAGCCATTTACAGCCCATTAAAAGATCAAATGTCTGGGGATGATAAATCGAGGCATTTGAAACTGTTTTCCAATTCAAAGCTCGCTCCCTATGGAAAGTGCTGAGCCAGTGTAGTTCTGAGACGGCCGCACAGTCTGTCTGCTCCGGACCCGCAGGGGCAGCTCTCAGGGTGGAGCATTGTCCTCAGATTGACGGTAGTTCATCCTGAAAAGAATCACACAGAACGCCTGAGATGGCGCGACGCTCCTGGTAGGGATGAAGGAGGGGCTGGGGGCTGCTGATGTCTCGCGCAGTTTCCAGTTTCCCTGAGTAACTGGCGGAGGCAGGAGCAGTGGTTGGTATTGGGTAGGTGCGACCCTGCTGGTCCCGTGGGCAGGAAGCCTGGATTGCTTTCCCATCTCTGCTTTGGACTTTGGGCCATGAAGTCGAAGCTCCCAGTGCTTCTTTTCCATCTGCAAAATAGGCAGGACCATCCTTAGCTCTTAGGAATATCGTGGGCTTTCAGTAGCCAGCCAAGCAGTAATACCTTGGATTATGGAGTGCCGCACGGTTTACACACCATTAACCTGGATGTGCTCACTGAGTCCTCACAATAACCTTCAGACGTAGAATTTTTTATTTAACTGAGGCTCAGAGAGGGGACATCACTTTGCTCAAGTCACACAGCAGGTTGGTGGCAGAACCGTGTTTTGAACTAGGTCTCCTGGTGCCTTTGGAGAGAGGGATCGACTTTTGACCACTTTTTCATTTTTTTCTATGGCATTTTTGACTGTGTCAATAGTGGTAATGTATATTTTCCTAGAAAATTGTCAAGATCTTGAAAAACTTTGCCTGGGTATAGAATTCTTGGTTCTAAATATTTCCCCTCAGAACTTGAAGCAATTGTTTCACTATATTCTTGAATCTGCTGCTGCCAGTAAGAAATCTGATTTCAGTTTATGATTGGGAATCTCTTACTCTTCTCTTTCTGGAGCATTTGGTAGTTTCTCTTCATCCAGAGTGTTCTGAAGTTTCACCACAATCTATCTGTTTGTTTTTCTTTATCTCCTTAGCACTCAGGGGGCCCTTTCAAATTAAGAACTCAGGTCTATCTTCAGCTCTCGGAAATTTTCTTTATTATTTCTTCAAGTATATACTTCCATTTGCTCTCTCCGATCTCCCCTTCCAGAGCTACTAACAGATCTATGTTGGAACTTGGTCTGTCTTCTAGGTCCCTCACGTTTTCTCCCTCATTTTCTATCTCTCTGTCCCTTTGCAGTGCACCCCTGGAAAGTTCATGGCTCAGAATTCCAGCTCATCCAACGCTCACTCTTTAGCCATGTCCCTTCTGCTTTTCAACCCATCTGGTGAGCTTTTTATTTTCACAGTCATACATTTCATTTCTGAGATAACTAGTTTTTTCATTTCTTTCCTTTTTTTTTTTTTTTTTGGGGGGGGGAGGCAGATTGGCCCTGAGCTAATATCTGTTGCCAATCTTCCTTTTTTTGCTGGAGGAAGATTGTCACTGAGCTAAGATCTGTACCAATCTTCCTCTATTTTATGTGGGACTCTGCCACAGCATGGCTTGACGAGCAGTGCTAGGTCCACACCTGGGATCCAAACCCACAAACCCCGGGCCACCAAAGCAGAGTGCACGAACTTAACCACTATGCCACTGGGCTGGCCCCTATTTCATACTTTTTTTTTTTTAAGATTTTATTTTTTCCTTTTTCTCCCCAAAGCCCCCCGGTACATAGTTGTGTATTCTTCGTTGTGGGTTCTTCTAGTTGTGGCATGTGGGATGCTGCCTCAGCGTGGTCTGATGAGCAGTGCCATGTCCGCGCCCAGGATTCGAACTAATGAAACACTGGGCCGCCTACAGCGGAGCGCACGAACTTAACCACTCGGCCACGGGGCCAGCCCCTCATAATATTTTTTGAGTGGAAAATTCTCTTATCTCTTTGAGGACATTAATTATGCTTTAAGAATTGTCTCCATCTATTTGCTTTATTAATTGTTTTCTCTTGTCTGTTGAGTTGGTGCCTTGCTTTCATAGTCTTGGCCTTTTTTCTCAAATGAGCTGAAATTCTTGATATTTGGGGTTTTCCACGAGCTTGTCCCTCTTTCTCTGTTTCCTGCTGCGTTTCCTCTTTGAGGTGGGTGGAGGTGAAGGGCAGAGAAAGAGTGTGCGAGAATTCAGTTGTCTGAACTTGAGAGGGTCCCCTTTTCTTCTGGAGGTCATCAGCTTTGGAGGCACCCACTCTGACCCCACCCGCCTCAGAGCAGGCGGATCCCGTGCCTGATTCTTGACCCCAGCAGGAGGGGTCACTGGGTCCTTCCTGGCTGGCTCTCCCTGTGGTCTTCTGACAGTCACCCCCAACTCCCTCCCCGATCCCACCAGCCACATCTGCTGCTTCTAACTTGCTCCCACCCTTAGCTCTGGTCTCCTTCCCTGTGTGTTTTGGGCTGCGCCCTCCTCCTTCAATTGAGTCCCACCTACTTTCAGTCTCTCCAGGATTCCTCAAAATTTCCGGCCCAATTCCTTCCTGTTTTCCAATGCCATTAGGGACTTATTTTTATCTATTTATATTTTCTGCTTTATTGAGTTATGAATGACACATAAAAATGTATATATTTACGGCCCAGCCCAGTGGCACAGCGGTTAAGTACACACATTCTGCTTCGGCGGCCCGGGGTTCATCAGTTCGGATCCTGGGTGCAGACATGGTACCGCTTGGCAAGCCATTCTGTGGTAGGCATCCCACATATAAAGTAGAGGAAGATGGGCACGGATGTTAGCTCAGGGCCAGTCTTCCTCAGCAAAAAGAGAAGGATTGGGAGCAGATGTTAGCTCAGAGCTAATCTTCCTCAAAAAAGAAAAAGTATCTATTTAGGTTGTACAATGTGATTTTTTTAAAAGGTGTACAACATGATGATTTAATATATGTATATATTGTGAAGTGATTATCACAAATGGTTGACACATCCATCGCCTTGCATAGTTGGCGTCTTTTTTGTGTGTGTGCTAAGAACACCGAAGATCGACTCTTAGCAAATTTCAAGTCTACAATACAGTATTATTAACTGTAGTCACCATGCTGTCCGTTAGCGCCCCAGAACTTGTTCATCGTATAACCGGGAGTTCGTGCCCTTTGACCAATGTCCCCCCATCTCTCCCACCCTCAGCCCTTATCTGATATCTGGTTTGCAAAAATCCCACAGCTCTCACAAAGGCATTTTTGTCTGTGGCTGGCTGCCAAATTATTGTTACTGTGGGGAGATATGAGTGGGGAACCTTCCACCCCCCCATTTTGCTGATGTCACAGTAGGGACTTATTTTTAGATTTTAAATATCTGAGATCTGCGGCTGGGAGGGCCAGATAGGAGTGTGTGCTTATCTGCCATCTTGATCCAGTCACATATTGTCTGCATGTGTCCCCTCCTCCCCACTGCAGCGCCCCAGCTCAGGCCACCTCACCTCTTACATGTTGCACCAGTGAGGCATTTTCTAAAATCAGGCCCATCTGAGTCATCCCCCTGCTCAGGATCCCTCAGTGACTTCACGATAAGACCTCCATCGAGCCTGATGGGTGCCATGCCTCTTTCTCTCCCCGGGCTGTCCCCTTCCTCCAGCCATCTGGCCACGTCTCATTGCACACAGGTCCCCGGACCAGCCATGGCCTCTCTCGCCTCCGTGCCTTTGCTCACACTGCTCCCTCCTCCGCTAATGCCATCCCCTCTCATTGCCCCACTTTTGGTCGCTGACTCTGATCTTTCAGTACTCCACTGGTTGGCCTTTCTTAGGACCCGGGTTGGGTGCCCTGCTCCGTTCCCATAGCTCCCTGAGCTCATCGTGTGGTTGTACTCTTGACCCCGAGTTCCTGTGGGTCGTAATCCTCTCCTCGTCCGTCTTCTCCAGCAGAGTGGGATTCCCCGGGGCAGCGGTTCAGTCTTTTTCATTGACTCCATACAGCGTTCAATGACTGAAATGATGCCAGGGCTTGGTGGCCAAGGGATGTGGGTACTCGCGCTCCCTCTTAGGCCCCGACAGAGGGTCTCAGCGCCCCCCTTACCCAAGAGGACGAGCCCCCCGGCTTGTGGAGAGGCCCTTCTCTGCCAGCACGGCCTTTTGACCCGCAGTCCGTGTTTCAGCGTCAGATAGGGCTGATGAGATTGTTGCTCTCCCACAGGCACTGGTGCCATCACACGGTGACGCGGACGGTGTCCTGCCAGGTGCAGAACGGCTCGGAGACAGTGGTCCAGCGCGTCTACCAGAGCTGCCGGTGGCCCGGGCCCTGCGCCAACCTCGTGAGGTAACGGCCGCGGGGCTGGCCTGCTCTGCCCTTCCTTTCTGTTCCCTTGGGTGAATCCAGCCCCAGCACAGCTGTCCGGGGAGGCGGGTGGACGCTCCGAAACAAGAGCTGAGCATGCATTTATGGAGCACCTTCTGTGTATAGGGCATGGGGGTATGTGTGTGCAAAGATGAAAGGATGCGCTCCCCACGACAGAACCTCACCACCCAGCGGCTGATTGGTGGGGGAGAAGCCAGCAATGGTCAATGAGTGGAGCGAGGGGACAGAGCGGCTTGGGAAGGGCCAGAAGAGGATGAAGAAGGAACTAGCCAGCCTTGCTCCAGATGAGAATGTGGGCCTATGATGCCCTTGCAAATCCGGCGTGCCTCCAGCCTTGCCCCCGTTATAAACCCTTCCCCTCCCGCAGCCCCGTCCCTCCCGCAGCCACGCCCATCTCTCAGCCCCGCCCTCTCTCAGCCCTGCCCCTCACAGCTCTGCCCCGTCGCAGCCCCGCCCCTTCAATCCCCGCCCATCTCGTCAAACCCCACCCCCCAGCCCTCAGCAGGTCCTCAGCATTCACATGGAAAGATCTGAATATGTGGCCCAATGCAGGGTCTCTGAGACCCCGGCCTCGCCCACCTCCCCATCCTCTTCTCTTCCAGGCCCTACTCCAGCTCCAGGGCTGGCTTCCTTTACCCACTCTCGCCCCACACCCATCCAAAGACCCTTCGCCATCTTGGATTTGACTCTAGCCCATCCCCATCAGGCCCCGTTGGGACACCCTTGAGGTTTGAAGGCCCAGCTCCCTTCCTCCCGCAAATAAACATTTGTTGACCTCCTCCTGTATGCAGGAGGCGGGGGTGTTACTGAAATAAGAAAGGCTGAGGATTGTGTAGCCCCCTCCCAGTGTGCTTATTATGCTTCTTGGTGTAATTTATTTTTTAGCGTAATTTTAGCTTTTTTTGTAAAGAGTCTGGACGCTGCGGGAGTCTGTGCTGGGCTCATCTCCCTGAGCAGAGCCTCAGGGTGGGAGGAGCTTGCGGGGAGCGGGTTCCTGGGAGCACTTTGAGGCAGGGACTGTCTACGCGCCTGTTTCCTCGTGTGTCACAATGCCCCAGGCTGAAAGCGAGAGACGACATCACCACAAGAGGCTTGGATAACGGAGCCTATTAATCTCACGATAAATCTGGGAGAGGCGCTATGTAAGAAGCTCTCTGGGGGGATGGGAGCAGAGGTGGGGCCATGGCTGAGCCGGGAAGCGGATCCCAGACAGGTATCTCCCGCGGCAGCTCCATGCTGGCGTTCAGGCCTGGGCATGCTCTGAGCTTGCCTTTCTCTCCTAGGTTAGGGTGGCAAACCCCAGCGGAACCCCCCCACCCCCGCCGTCACCTCCCGGTGGGTGCCGTATTCTGTTGCTTATAATCCTGGCTGCTCAGCGCGTCTTGCACATTGCAATCTCAGTATTTACATAGAAATTTGCAGGGTTCCGTATTTCTTGTCTGTTTCCCCTCAGCACTTTCTGAAGCTGTGTGTGGCCCTATTCTTGTTCCCTTCATCTTTTGAAACATTCTGGATGCTTTCAATTGTGTTCACACAGAACTTTTGCAGGGAAAATGAGAGGGAATATGATCATGGTGTGATTGTGAACTGCCACTTCCAGTTCTCTGCTGTTCTGAGTTTTCCCTGTTATGGGGGTTGGGGCTAGTACAGCTTTGGAATCCGAAAGACCAGCTGTGTTGCCTTGAGCAAGTTACCTACCCTCTCTGGCCCTTATCTCTAAAATGCAGACAACCCTTGTCTCATCGTGCCATTGTTAGGATTCCACGAGAGAAAGTGTTAGTTTAGTGCTGCACGTGGCGTATTTCGGGACATGGTAATGACCGTGATTAACTGCTCCTTCCCCTTGCCCAGTGAATTCCTTCTTCCCTTGAAGGTCCACCTGCAGCCTCCCCTTTTTGAAGCTGTCGCCTGCACCCTCCCAGGCAGAATCGATCAGTCCTTCAGTTACGTTCTCCCAGAGCCTTATCTGTCCTTCACAGAGCGCAGCCGGGCTGGTTTTAGTTAATTGTCTGCCTGTCCATCCCTCCCGCTGGAGTCTCTCCCTCCAGGCCAGGGGAAGTCTGACCTTCACGTTTAGATTCTCCCGCAGCTTTGCGAGTGCCTGGAGAAGATGATCATGAGCTTGGCAAAGTTTTGCCCACCTTCCCCCCCCGCCCCGTTCTGCCTCCTGTCCCCACGCCCCCACTGTCCGGGTACTCACACTCTGCAAGGGAGGGACCCCCTCCGCTGGATCCCTTAGCCAGAGGTCCCCACACCTCAAGGGAAGTCATATCTAACTGAGGGCTCCTGGGCCAGGCCTCACCCGGTCATGTGTAGAATTGTGGGCAGTCCAACCAGAAGAAGAGAAACATGACAAGGCAGCTTGGAGAACCCTAAAGGGCATTTCTGTCTTCCTTCTTCTGGCTGGGTTTGGAAACGGGCTCTGTCCCAATTCCCTCATGTGGCTGTGAGAGTGTGACCAGAAGGGACGTGGGGCCTTGGCCAGTGTCAGGAGAGAGTGAGTGAGTCCGGATGGAGAAGGGTTGGAGGAAGGATGAAGACTAAATGGCTGTTGAAGCAGAGTTGGAGTGGGCCCGGTAGAGGCCCCGACTCCAGGGCGGGGGTAGCTGTTGGGTGTGAGCCCCATGGGGACAGCCCCTGCAAGGAGGTGTCCCCTGGTCTGTCCCGGTTTAATCTGGCTGTGCTTAAGGGCAGAGCGCCCGCTGGTGGGGAAGGGCTGGTGGGGGGCGCGGGGCAGGAAGTGAGAGCCGAGGGGCACCGGGAGGGGCTGCTCTCTGACCAGTGTGCGTGGAGCCCTGTGGCCGAGTCAGAAGCGCTGCCCTCCTCCCTGGCTGTCTGCCGCCATCCTCCTGCCTTCGCCCCAGCTTGGGTCTCTGAGTGGGCCCGGGACCCTAGCCCATCCCGCGCCCCCTGACTGGCTCACTCCCCATGAGCCCCAGCGAGGCAAGGGGCCTGGCGTGAAGTGGAGCTTAATGAACGGTTGTGGATGGGCCGGCCCAATCACCTGGACGCGGCTGTCCACGGGCGTCCCCTCCTTGGAGTCGTCGGGATATAGGGATATTCTCCTGGGGCACATGGGCTGTGCCATAATCCTGCCACTCGGAATGAGCAGTGCCTTCATCGTCACACCTCTTTCTCCTAGAGATGAGCTTAGCTTTGCCTAGAAATAGGTAACGTGATTTTGGGGTGCTAGGAAACCCCCAAGCCCCAGATATCCCCTCCCAGGGTGCCTGCAATGTTGTATTGGTTCACTCACTCACCATTCATTCATTCATTCATCCATTCATTCATTCATTCATTCACATGTCCTGGAGGCTGGTTGCATGCCAGGTTCTGGCTGACAGCACTGCTGTCTGTCTGTCTGTCTGTCCTCAAGGAGGTGGCACTCCAGGGGCAAATAACTGTTTCCAAATGGTGGCTGGGGTCTAGGGTAAGCCAGGTTACTGTAGGAGGGCCACCCATCCTGACGGGGGGCCGGGGGAAGGCTCCTGATGGAGGTGGCATCTGAGCTGAGGCAGGGCCTGGCGGGCACAGGGAGGGAACAGCTGGAGCCCCGGCACAGAGGGGCTCATGGCAGGAGGGGCTCAGGAGCTCCAGACCCCTGAGTGGGGCTGGGCGATGGGGGACAGTGGGGGTGCATGAGGCAGGACGGCCACAGGGCCAGTGCACTCAGCTGAGGAGTTGGTGCTCAGCTGGTCATTCCCTTCGATTCGGCAGTGCCTTGTCCAGGAGCTTCCAGTTAAATATGATGATCTCCTCACCCCCTCCTGTAGAGGCAACTGGCTGAGGGACCCCCTACTGCCCCATGATGGGGGCACCTTGGGCAGTGAGGGCCCAAAGCAGAGGGTAGGAGGCAGAAAGGAGGGTGAGGGGGGTGAGAGCTCGTCCACCCATCACATTTGTGCCTGGGGGGGGTCTGCGTGCTCAGAGCTATGGGTTTCTGAGAGGAGCAGGACCGCCACGCTTTGCCACCTCCAGCTGTGGGAGATGGAGTCGGACTCGAGCGTGACCAGAAGCTGCCTGCCCCCTCGGGTTCCTGGGGCATATGGCCCTTCCCCCAGGCAAAGAGAACCCTTGTCCTGGACCCTGCCCATTGAGGAGGCCACTCTGGTCCTCCTCTAACCATGCCCATCTTCACAGGGTGAGGAGTCCATGAGGCCAGGTGGACGTGTCCATCCCAAGTCTGCGCCCATCTTCTAGACCATTCTCTGGATACCTGGCTAAACAGCCCTGAGTGGCTTCCAGGCCCGCCCTGGCCTCTCCCCTGAATCTGGGGGACTGTGCCTGTTAGAGGCACACTCTGAGCCTCAAGGGGTGGGTCAGGGGTGGCTATTTGTGAGAGTAGGGGGCGTGGATGGAGCTGGGATGTGTGGCCTGGGTCCACACACAGGGTGTGGGATGGAGCTGGGGGTCGGAGGAGAAGGGGTGGGGGTTGGGGTCTCACTTGTTTCATCTGCACAGATACCCATGCTGCGGTGCGTCCAGCCCAGTGTGTGGCTTTGATAAGCCCTTGGTGAGTGTTGGCTGCGGCCCTCTGAGAAGAGGTGTAAGTATCAAGTGAGCAAACAGTGGCCGGTGAGAGAACACGAGAACTGTTTGCTGGCTGAGAGCTGGGGACACCTGTCTCAGCGTCCTCCTGCCGCACACGCCTGCTCAGTGCGAGCTCTGGGCCAGGGCCATGCACGGGGAAGGGCCTTCTGCATCTCTGTGTAGCTGGATTCAGGGATCAGCCTGGCCGTCATCCTCGGTGGCGCCTCTCTCTGCAGGGCACTATGATGCCACACGTTATCGTGTTATATCCTGCATAGAAATGATGACCTTTCTACGACAAAAGTGTGCAGGTGGGGGAAGGGAGGTGTGGATGTGGAAACGTGAAGTGGGGCGCACTTAAGCCTATTTGGAATGCTCTAGGGGACTGGCATGTGCCCCCAGTCCCGCCTGTGCCCCCAGGAGCCCCATGG